TGAGCAAATAAACTGGCAACTTGTGCACAATTTTGTAAATCTAAATGATGAATTGAATTTGAAGATGTGGGAAAAGCAAACATACTGAAAGTTCATTAAACTAAAGCTTGGTGGAAACGAGAGCATTTAATTGTAAAATAAGTACGCCCACAAAGGGCGTTACCGAATGTAGATCAGTCTTGAATGACTTTGAATTTTGTCACTAAAAATATAATAAATGTAATAAATAAACTAAGCTTTGATATATGATTTATAAAAATAGTTTTGATCGATTAATCGATTTATTTAATTCAAGTCATAACAAAAAACTGTCGTTTGAGCTTTTAATCAACGGGCTTGTTAATGTTTTGTTCGCAAAGAAAATATTTACTCTATAATTAACTAAAACTATTTGCTTTCCTGTTGCTAAGACCCCAGCTAATTGTGGACTTTTCTCTCGCCCTTCCCTGCGATGAGCGTACTGGACTTCTCGGAAGTATATAACCTGTTTGCATGTTAGCGACCCATTAATATCAACAAGAATGTCAACTAAAACTTTTGTCCCATTTTTATGACCAACGCCCTCTTGTTGTTGCTGTTCTTGTTGTCGTTGTTGTTGATACCTTGGAGACGACTTCATGTTGAGGTCCTTGTCGGCGTTTTTGGTGTCATTGCACGTTTGACATGCACAAAGTGTCAACGCGCGACCCAGGGCACGCCCAGTTCTCTGTGAAAGTCACAGCTCCCTTATAAGCGCCGCACCTCCCTCACAACTTTATTTTTATTCTTCCTTTTTTTTTTATTTTTTTTTGACAATTCTATTGTGCTCCACTTTGAAGGATATACACACACACACACACGCACAACTATGGCATAAAAGCTTTTCGCTGTACACAATGCGCAATGCCAACCCTTGAGCCACAAATCCCCACAAAATACACAGCCCAGCGAAGTCTTCTATGCCCACTCCCTGAGTCTCTATTTCCCTCTCTCTCTCTCTCTCTCTTTCTGTATATATATATATATATATATACTTAACTACCTAACGTTTGTTTGCTTCGCGGCGCCATCCATATGGTGCCTGATCCAAGCTCAAGTTACCCAGACCCAGTCAGACCCAGAATGGAGCGGGTGGGCCATTTAAAGTTTGGCGTTTCCTGTCGACAACATCACAAATTAGTTGTAACTTGCCTCTGCGGACTGGCTGGAATAGCTACTGGGTTTTTTTTTTTTATAAAAATGAATGCTTTACCCAAAGCCGGCCTAGATGCAAATTCCAAGAAATTTTACAGATACACCGAACTTTTAACTCCATAAATCAAATTTTTCTGAGGTACTTTGGCGATTATCGATTAATCGATTAATTTAACTTTGTCATCTCTATGAACCAGTTTGTCGACAAGCAAACATTTGGAACAGACAAAACATACTTCAAGTTTTCTAATATAATAAATTATTAATTATCATAATATATAACAGATAAATTGTATGTTAAGGCAATTTAATGCTTATATCAAGAAAAATAAAATGGAGTTTATCTTAAGGATAGTGCTCATGAAAGTAAAGAAACCTATTTGAGGGCTTATTCCAATACAAATAATTGGCTGTCTGGGCATAAATTTATATAGATTGAACTATCAAACTTAAAAGTATAATAAATAATAAAAAATGTTGGCTGATAGAAATTAGTAGGGAATATGTGGGCCAACCATGAACTGCGAAGCATATTGAAAACTTGCCTCTTGAATAACGCATATTTAAAAACCGAGTATAAAAAACGTGATGTAGTTAAATGTACGAACCGTTTTCTTTTCTTTTATAGGGCCATGGCTTTAGCGCTCCGTAGATGTTGCCTTTTCTTTGTTATTTTCTTTTTTTCCGCCAATTTGTATGTGTATATAATCTTCTTGTTTTGCGTTTTTTGTGGTTTTGGTTTCTTTTCTTTTCTGTTGTTTAGTTCAAAGCGGCAGTCAGTCAACTGGCATTTTGTATGTGCATATAACTGGGTTAGGGCGCCACATTCGCATGCCACATGCCACTTGCCACATGCTACATGCTACATGCCACATGCAGATGAAAGCAGCCGCAAGGGGCGTGCCACTTCATAGCCTCCGAAACAGCCGTACAGTAATGCGCAAGAAAGTATGCTATGGCATTTTGTTAAATACATTTTTTTTTTGTTTTTGGCTCTTATTTTTTCTTTTTTTTTTGCTGTTGGGCTTTGCAACCCCTCTATGCAAATTACAACGACCCATCACTGGCTGTGGATGACTCATCATACAGTTGCCCGCGACGCCTGCCCCGCCCATGAGCAGCTACGTCGGCTGCCTCGTCGCAATTTCTATAGAGATTTTAATCGCATTTACTTAGCCGGGGCAGCCCACCGAGTTGGCTGGATAGATAGCTGGCAAGGAGCAACCATCGAGAAACTATCATAAAGTCGCTGGGGTTAAGTGGCAGCCAAGCAGGCAGCACAACAAAAAGCACACACACACACACACACACACACACACACACACAAACACACACAGAAACACACCCAGGCGGCTCAAGGAAGTTGCATACATTAGGCAAGGGATTCGAGACCAAGTCAGCAGCTGTTTGTGTCTGGGCCCGCTGCACATTTGGCTGGCTTTAGAGTTGGGCTGCTCAACTTTGTCGGTCAGCAGCACCAGCAGCTGCCACCACCTGCCCGCTTGACTGCCTACATGCTGATGGTGTTGCCTGATGGTGACACGCCAGCGTCAGCGCCAGCGCCAGCGTCGGCGTCGCCGACTTGGTTGAGTGAACTGAACTAAACAGAAAGTGTGTAGCTGTGTGTAGGGTATACAGGACGGGGGCCGTGGGCCGTGAGGTGTGGGGTGTGGGGTTGTTGGGCGCACTGAGTCAGCGCGTCGGGCAGTTGGATTTATTGACTTGGCTGGCATGGGGTTAACTGAGGGTTAGCCTATGCTTAACCCAAGGGCTTGTCCGCCTAACTTAATGTGTCATCGTCATCGCCATTGCCCTGGCAACAGCAGCAACTGAGTCTAGTGCTGGCAACGCAAATGCAAATACAACACGGCAACACTCGATTGTGTTGCATGTCCTGTCATGCCGCAACATAAGCATTGCTATGGATTTATGTGGGAACTAACAGACGCGCTGCCTGACATCCCCCTATGAACGAGATAAGTGGCATACAATTTGTACGAACATGTTTACAAATAGTCGTGCAAATTTTTCTCTTGCGACAAAGCAGTTTTGTTGTTTTCAATTCTTTTGTGTGCTGCATTCGTAAACGTTACTAATGAACTTTAAAAAATTAAAAGGAGAAAAGATCTCTTCACATTCAAGCCAACAGGAGATCCGCTCGATAACTTCGCTAGTTGATAGTGCGCAACATTTTTTGTTTCTTCTTCTTTTATCGATATGTTTAAAAATCAGTGCTGATAACGGACACCCTCTCAATCGTTATGCAACACTATCTTCAAGAATTAAAGTGCATCAGACGAGTTGAAATTTGTTAAAAGTAGCCCAAAACAAACTTGAGAACTTGCAACTTTGCCACTGAACGTGGCATATTGTGGGTGAATGTGAAATCAGTTACAAACCTTAACAAATTTACAAGTTCAACAAACCCAGAGCCATAGTTTTCAACTGCCCCAAGCCCTGCTCAGCCCCTGCCCCCTTTTATTCGCTGCGCTGCAACTTACAACACTTAAAAACAATTCAAATGATTGACCTATTCAATGACCTGCAGCTGCTGGCAGCGGCGGGGGCGGGGGCGGGAGGTGAGTAGCGATACGATGTCGCGGCTGCCGCTTAAGTCAAATGTATATAAAAAAAACTAAGAAAAAAAAAAAAAAAATTCAGCGCTTAACAAGCTCAAGCACCGAGCAGTTCGCATAATTGACTTGGGTTTTTGAGTGCTATACACTCATACATCGATACAAGTAGAGAAAGAGAGAGGCAGTGAAAGCGAGAAAGAGAGCGAGAGAGAGAAAAGAGTATGACTTGAAAAATGTCCGAAATAAGATTTAAAAAATGGGCATACGATGAGTTGTTGCTCTCGTTTACTTCCTTTGCGCTTAATTGCAATTACGTCAAGCTGAGAGGCGTATAAGCTGCTCCCTCTGGAGCCCCCGCCCCCCTCTGGTGCCTAGGCTTGAATGTACCATTTTCGCAATTGGAAATTAAACAAGTTTGTCATAATTATAATGTGTGCATACATATATGAAATGTCTCATCGCTCAAGGAACGCAATGAAAGAAGCGAAAAGCAATACATAGAGAAATATGTGGGTTTATTAAGTCAAATTAAATGTGGAAATCAACTTGTTAGAGCGCCGCCACTTAATGAGTCGCAATTCCCCAACCAGGAAACACAAATGAAAACTCATGTATGTCTTGCTGTTTAAGCTAATTAGTAATTTCTTCAATCTGCCTACAGTTAAAATAACATAATCAAATTTAACTAAAAGTCTTATACGTGAAGCTTATGCATAGCAAAGCCGTATCATATAGCTCTACTATATCATATGTCTTTTATAGAAACAATCGTATATAATCGTATTATATAAAAACAATATAGACTCGTCCTTATTGGTTCTTTGAATGTAAATGTATATTAGATGGGCATTACGAAGACCTCAGTAATGCGGTACACATTGCACTTTGACTAGATTAGGTGGGTAACTGTCATGTAATGAAAATGTCGCTGTTAAAATCATGTTAAAAATCGATTTCGAAATCTTGTTTGTCACCCTTATCTCGAAGCGAAATCAAAAACTCAGATCGCGAATATTTAACGTTTTCGTTACCTCTCCGAAAGATATAGACTTCATCTTTCGTTTATCCCATTTAGGCGGGGTTCAGGGCATCCCATAGTCGGGCACGCCCGACCCGATCTCCCTTGTTTTTGTATACAATTTCTGGAGTTGGTAAATCTTTTTTGGCAAATAGGATTCCCCTACTAAACATACCCAAACGTAATATAGTCTTTTTACTCATACAATTGGCATTTGCTTTATCTATTTACAGATATAGATGGATCAAGAACGGCAAGAAGTTTGACTGGCAGGCGTACGATAACCGTATGCTGCGCCAGCCTGGACGTGGCACATTGGTGATCACATCACCCAAGGATGAGGATCTGGGACAGTATCAGTGCTTTGCCTCCAACGAGTTTGGCGTCGCCACATCGAATTCGGTGTTTGTGCGCAAGGCGGAGCTGAATGCGTTCAAGGACGAGGCAGCCCGCAGCGTTGAGGCCGTCGAGGGTGAGCCTTTCTCGCTGCAGTGCGAGGCGCCCGATGGCTGGCCAAAGCCCACTGTCAACTGGCTGATACAGCAGACCATCGATGCGGGCATCAAATCGATCAACAATTCACGCATGACCCTCGACCCGGAGGGCACACTCTGGTTCTCCAATGTGACGCGCGATGATGCCAGCGGCGATTTCTGGTATGCCTGCTCGGCAACGTCAGTGTTCCGCAACGAGTACAAGATCGGCAATAAGATACTGCTGGACGTCAAGCAGATGGGCGTGAGTGCATCCCAGAATCGTTATCCCCCCAAGCGGCAGTACGTGACCCGCAAGAACGAGGTGGCGCTGCGCGGCAAACGTGTCGAACTGTATTGCATCTATGGCGGCACACCGTTGCCGCAGACACTCTGGTACAAGGATGGAAAACGGGTGGAATGGAACGATCGCATTACCCAAGGCAACTATGGTAAATCTCTGGTAATTAGGCAGGCCAATTTCGACGATGAGGGCACCTACAACTGTGACGTGTCCAATGGTGTGGGCCAGGCGCAATCCTATTCGATCAATTTGAAAATTCATGCCATACCCTACTTCACCGAGGAGCCGGAGATACAAAATGCCGCCGAGGATGAGGAGGTCGTATTCAATTGCAAGGCCGCCGGACATCCAGAGCCGACCATTCAATGGATACACAATGGCAAGCCGATTGCGCAAAGCGAACCAAATCCTCGACGCACCGTTACCAACAACTACATTAAGATCGTGAATCTGGTGAAGAAGGACACGGGCAATTATGGCTGCAACGCCACCAATTCCCTTGGCTATGTCTACAAGGATGTGTACCTCAATGTGCTCGCCCTGCCCCCAGAGATCCAGGAGCCACCACGCGCCGAGGCCACCGTCAACGGACGCAACATCACAATGCGCTGCCGCGTCTTTGGTGCACCCAAGCCCCAGGTGAAATGGCGCCACAATAATAACTGGCTGACCGGAGGTCGTTACAATGTGCTGCCATCGGGCGATCTAGAGATACAGGAGGTGACCTTCGCCGACAATGGCAATTACACGTGCTTAGCGGTCAACAAGTTTGGCAATGCGACGGCCGAGGGTTCGCTGGTGGTGAAGGAGCGCACCAGGATTACACAGGAGCCGCAAAACTATGAGGTCGCCGCCGGCCAATCGGCCACATTCCGTTGCAACGAAGCACACGACGACACCTTGGACCTGGAGATCGAATGGCTGAAGGATGGCCAACCGATTGATTTTGATGCAGAGGCACGATTTGTGAAGACCAACGACAATTCTTTGACAATTGCCAAGACCATGGAGCTGGATTCGGGCGAATACACGTGCGTTGCACGCACTCAACTGGACGAGGCCACGGCCAAGGCGAATCTCATAGTGCAGGATGTGCCGAATGCGCCCCGTTTGATAGGCATCACATGCCAGGCCGACAAGGCAGAGATCTCCTGGGAGCCGCAAGGTGATAATCGTTCGCCCATTCTACACTACACGATCCAGTTCAACACCTCGTTCACGCCCGCCTCCTGGGATACGGCATACGAGAAGGTGCCCAGCACGGACTTCTCATTTGTACTGCAAATGTCGCCATGGGCCAACTATACGTACCGTGTGATTGCTTTCAACAAGATCGGACCATCGCCGCCGTCGGGACATAGCGAGCCGTGCACCACACAGCCGGATGTGCCGTTCAAGAATCCGGACAACGTTGTCGGCCAGGGCACAGAGCCAGATAATTTGGTCATCACATGGACACCGATGCCGGAGATCGAACACAATGCTCCGAAATTCCAATATCGTGTCAGCTGGAAGCGTGACATACCCGGTGCCGCCTGGGAGAACAAGGACATCTTTGATTGGCGCCAGAACAATCTCCTGATCCCCAATCAGCCGACATTCGTCAAGTATCACATCAAGGTGGTGGCCATCAATGAGCGCGGCGAATCGAATGTTGACGCCGAGGAGGTGATTGGCTACTCTGGCGAGGACCGTCCCCTCGAGGCGCCCACTAACTTCAGCATGCAGCAAGTAACCAGTGCAACCCATGCTTATGTGGGCTGGAATCCGGTCAGCGTGGAGTCTGTGCGCGGCCATTTCAAGGGCTACAAGATCCAAACCTGGACGGACAAGGAGGGCGAAGAGGGCCTCCGTGAAATACACACAATCCAGAACGGTGCGCTCGTCACACAATTCAAGCCCGACTCCAAGAACTATGCCCGCGTCCTGGCCTACAATGGACGCTTCAATGGACCGCCCAGCGCTGTGATTGATTTTGATACGCCCGAGGGTGTGCCGTCATCAGTGCAATCGCTGGAGGCTTATCCGCTGGGCTCATCTGCCTTCTGGCTAACCTGGAAGAAGCCGCTCAATCCCAATGGCAAGCTGACTGGCTACAAAATCTACTATGAGGTGGTCAAGGGCAGCTATGTGGGCGAACGACGCGAATATGAACCCCACATCACCGATCCTCGCATCACACGCATGAAAATGGCCGGTCTGAAGCCCAAGACCAAGTACCGCATCTCCATCACAGCCACAACCAAAATGGGCGAGGGCACCGAGTAAGGCATTCCTCACATTCTCCTTCTGACCTTCCTTTGTACCTTTTACTCAATTTGCTACTCCTAATTCCAGGCATTACATTGAGAAGACCACACTGGGCGAAGATGTTGAGCCGCCATCCACACCATCCCTAACTTGGGAGCCGATCCAGTCGCCAAATGGTCAGCCTACCTACCGTATAAATTGGGTGCCCAGCACTGATGGCCGTTCGGGCTCACACTTCTTCACCAAGTATAGGTGAGTAAAGGATGTGAATTGGTTAACTAATTCAATTTCGAACTGGTTCCGTTATCATAAGGAGTCTATATGATGTAGTTCTTTAATTAAAACCAAGGCTATGAGTAGATTAAATTATTTCAATACCTAGATCAACTAGTTTCAACTTTGAACTCGTATGCTCCTTATTTTAGCTACAAATAATATTCACTTATAAAGTCAGTTGTTTTGAACTAGTTCAACAAATATTCCTTTTCCGCTAATGTTGAAAATTTAATGATTTAATAAATAAAAAAAGCCGTTTGTGTTTTTAGACCATCATCAAATAAAAATTTAATGGAACATATTATTTTTTGTTTAAAATAATTGTTCAGTTAAATAGCTAAATGATGGGCGGAACTAGTTCTGTTGGCTTTGTAAGAACTTCGAGTTCTGCATGTATGCCTGCATATGCTTCAAAGCGTTGCCAGATTGCAGTACATTCAAGCTAAAACCAAATACTTAATAATTAATTGGAAATATTATTAACAGAATCAAGGGTGAAACGGAATGGACCAGCAAAGAACCCGAGAAATCAGTCGACTATCAGGAGGTGGGCAGCCTCGATCCGGATACAGTTTATGAGTTCCGCGTTGTGTCGGTCGATGGACATTATCACACGGAGAGCGCCACCCACGAGATTGACACGAACAGCGCCGAGGGACCCATAATGGTGCGCAACGAGACTCTGGCGAATGCCGGCTGGTTCATTGGCATGATGTTGGCTCTGGCCATCATCATTATCCTGTTTATCATCATTTGCATTATCCGTCGCAATCGTGGTGGCAAATATGATGTGCACGATCGCGAGCTGGCCAATGGCAGGCGTGATTATCCGGATGAGGGCGGTTTCCACGAGTACTCGCAACCGTAAGCATATCTCCAATTATCGTTATCGATAAATTGCTGTACGTACATAAGGGTGAATGTATCGATAACGCATTTGCTTTTGCTTTTACAGTTTGGACAACAAGAGCGCTGGTCGCCAATCCGTTAGTTCAGCGAATAAGCCCGGCGTGGAGAGCGATACCGATTCGATGGCCGAATACGGTGATGGCGATACAGGTAAGAGCGACAATTAACTCCAGTTCATCCTAAGTGTTCCACGTGTCCCAGTCCATGTCATTGTTTGTTTGTTTTTATCTTTCATTTTCTTCTAAATTTATTTTATTACAAATTTTCATTTTGTTTTTGTCAACCGTTTTTGTTTTTGATGATGATGATCATGATGATAATGATAATGATGATGATGATGCTGATGTTGATGTTGGCACTGATGCTGGTGCTGTTTGCAGCCGTGACCACAGCCGCCGGTCATGCTGCCACCGCCGCGCGCAAGGTGGGCATCAAGCAGCCATCGACTTTGCCCCAGCCTCACCTGCAGTCATCGCCGCCGCCCTACGACAAAGCCATGAGCCAACAATTTCACGCAGCCTAGTCTCACATCTATCTTCCGTTTATTTATGTTTTTGCACAAACTCACACAACTCACACACACATACGCACACACACACACACACACACACACACACACCATATAACTGTAACTGTGGGCGGCGACGGTGGCGGCGTTGGCTTCATCTTTCTTCAAACATTTCGTCCAGGTAGCCAATTTGCCCGGCATTTTATTTATGCATTTCTGCATTTTTTGGCGGCTGTTTTTTGCAGCCAAATTAAAAAAATATATATATTTTTTTTGGCTGGCTTCTTGCGTCGCGCTTCGCTTAATCGTTTTGTCACCCTTCTTGCACGCGTCCTCCTCTCTCTCTCTCTCTCTCTCTCTCTCTCTCTCGCTCTCTCGCTCTCTCTATGCTCTCTAAGTTGTCACGACTAACTGGCATCGGTGCTGCAGACTGTGCATATATGTATTTCTATATATAAATGCATATGCATAACCAGCATGTGAGCTAGGATCATCCATTCAAAGCTCGTCGAGCCAAGCGGCAAATAAAAATAAAGGACGATTGCTAGCCAATAGCTTTGATTGGAGAACATTGGCAGGAAGAATATTGTAGCCGATGTTATAAGTCATTTTCAAGATTCTCTTTTTTTTTACTTCAATATTATAGAAATTGCTCTGACTAATTCGGAGCCTGGCTTCAATGCAACCAACTTAATAATGTAGCAACAATTTCTACAAATTTGTAATTCAGTTTATCTGATCACGTTAACGGAAAATATAGTCAGATAATCAAATATAAGAATAGCTCACAAATATATTAATATTCAATTATTTAACAAATTTAGGTATATAGGATACGTGGTGCAGAACCTTAGCTACTGATTGCAAAGGTTTCTGACTCCACATTGATTTCGATATAAGCTATCTATAAAAAAAAAGTTAATACTGAATGTTAATACTAATGAAATTCTTTATTTGATATGAAAATATACCCTTATGTTGTGTTGAGGTATTTTCCGTTAATACCTGACTATTAGTTAATAGAAAGATTTCGTGTCCTATTCAAATTTACGAACTGCCTCACTTCAACGTATAAAAAAGAACAGAACGATAGTTAACATTTCTATATGATATACATGAGTTCCATCTCATATATGTATATATTTGTCAAACAGCAATGAGCTATTCTTATTGGAATACAAATCCTTAAAAAATGTAGTATCTTTTATAACTTTATAGTTCAAACGATCTAAGATAAATCTGTTCTTATATATCAATTCGAATCAGCGAATTCCTATTTGTACAAACATCTAGCAATTTTAGCAAATATGTTCTAGGTAAAATTCGTTATTTTTGTTAGAGTTTAAATAGTTCAAAGTATTAGGGAAATGTCGAGAATTAGTGGAGCCAACTTAGCTTGGCCATCAGCAAAGTCTGGCAACGCCAGGTTTCTTTTTATAAAATAAGTAAAACATTTGCTGGCTTGATATTGTTGATTTGTTTTTTATTCGCATCGCTCGATAATAAATCTTCTAAATTAAACTTTTTCAAAGACATGGACCCAATATTCGTTTTGGCTTGTGGCACTTTGCGGAGCAAGTGGATGATCCTATGTTAATACATATCTGTATATGTATGTGCTTTCCTTTGTATATGTATGTGTATTTATCCAATAGGCCCAGTTCATCAATAATTGCTTAATGTTCTGCGTTTTGTTATTTACTTGTGTTTTGTTCCTTTAATTTATGTTTTATTCGTTTTGCACAACATTTAATTTACTTATTTTTCCATTTTTTTTCTTTTCTTCAATTTGATTTTTGTTTACTCTATAAAACAACACATGACACCTACAACAACAAATAAAAACAACACCTCAATAAAAAAAAAAAAACAAAAAAAAATGATAAAATAAAATAAAATGCTGTACGATAAAAATGGCGAAATGCAGGCATGAACGAAGATGGTTCCTTTATTGGTCAATATGGACGCAAAGGACTTTGATTTAATCTGTAAGCAGCGCGGCTTCCACAACAAACAAACCGAACCGATTCGAACCGAGCCCCTCCACAACAACAACAACAACAACAAACATCCACAACAACAATTACATCAACAGCGCCCAAAATTCTAAATGAAAATCAAAGTTTTTTTTTAAGTTTATTTTTAGTGCGACGAGTTCATTTTCTATATGAAAGCGAATATTTTTTATAAAGTAACTAAAACTAGAACTAAACAAAAAAAAAAGAAAAAAGAAAAAATTATACTGCCAAGCAAAAACGAGAAAAAGAACAAAGAACAACAACGATGCAGCAAAAAGGCTATTAAAACAAAACAAGAAAATCACAAGAAAAAAGCAAAAAAAAAAAATATTCTGGCGCCTTGGCTTAATCAAGGATCACCCCGTGGGGAGCAGTGGCAGAGAACGCAGACAAATCAGAAACAAGAATGCTTAACTCCAAGCCCAGCCCGCACCCCGCCACCGCCGCTTCTCCCTTCCACCTTCCAATAAAGCAGCTGCGTGTTTTGTTTGCTCGCTCTCTTTCTGTTTCTCTTACACATACACACGCACAGACACGCTTGCTCTCTAACTGTACCGCTCTCTCCTACACTGAAAATCTGTCCTCACTCTGTTTAATATGTAATGCATATATAAATATATATACATATATATATATACATATATAAATACATAAGTCTTAATTTAAAAATTTGTTTAAAAAACGTAATGTACATTTTCTGTTATTAGCTCCCTCCTTGAAAAAATTTGCGTACGTGTGTATTTAATTTAATTTTTTTATCCAATGCTCTTTAGTTTTGTTTCATAATTTTAATTTTGTGTACTATGTATTTTAATGAAATATGTTTTATTTTATTATTTCTTATATATACATAATTTTTTTTATCAATTCGCTTGGACAGTTACATTTAAAGAAATGTTGTAAACTGTACTTTGTAAACGGTTTGTTTTCTGCATAAAAAGAAAAACTAAAAACAAATTGAGAAAAATACATATTATGTTTTTTTTTTGTGTGTAGTAGATCTATTTAATATTAAACAAACAAAACAACTATATAAAAATATTGCATTTTTATATTACTATATTAGAAAGAAAAACCAACAAACGAAATAAAGAAAAAGTAAACAATAAAATCGAAAGTGAAAATTTAAGTAACATCATTTTTTTACAGACAACACATGTCCATATTGACACAGGCAAAGAGGAAGTTAGAAAATAATTTCGAAATTCGAATTCGATGCAGAAACTCCGGTTTTATATAAATATATGTACATATTTGATGTATACTCCTAATTCCTAAAAGATCACGTTTCAAGCGATATCTAAAAACGCTGTAAAATCAATTTTGTACAGTGTATAATTTCGGTTTACGCTCTGACTCAGAAAATAAGTGCACATTTTGCATACTATTAAATATGCGGAATATGTGTATAAGAAAAACACACTATGATCACAATTTAAAACTAGGTAAAACTTAAACAGTATACTTCTTAATCTCTTTCTTATAGATTAGAGGGAGACTTAACTGGGCTATTCCAGCTCTTAAGTTGTTCAACATTTTCTAAGTAGTTATCAATACTCAGTACTCAATACTCAATACATCAATACTTTCATAATGTTATGTATCTCAAAAGCCTTTAAATACATATTTAGAATTAGATTTTTATATTATCTCTTAAAGATAACACAAAACTTTTTAATTTATTATTTGGAGCATGAAAAACTTAGCCTGAATAATTTTTAGAAATATACTAGCAAAAAATCTTGAAATATTTCCCAAAATATGTTGCATACCCTTGCAGTGTGTATTATAATTCCATTACTATATTTGTAACGCATAGAAGAAGACATATCCGAACCTATTTGATGTATATTTTATTTTGTTTATTCTACATTATACCTGAGCAAAACTTCATCAGCATTGGACTTCAATATCATTGGCTCTATAAGAACCTTTGATCGGAAATATTGTTTCTATATAAAACCGACTTGTAAACCGAATGTCTGCAAGTGTATTCAGTCTTTGGCAAGCCGAAGATAGCCGTGTCTCTTCTCTTTTTAAGGATATTTCCGATTATAGATTATTATTGAGTTGCAATGATTATTTGGCATTAAGATCCTTGTTTTTAGCTGTGAAACCCCGTGAAACCCAACTTTAGTTTGTACGTGTATAACACAAGGTAATGTTAATGAAGCATGCAGCTTGTACATATATTCTATATAGTCTAGATACCCTGTAGTCGTAGCTTGGCGCTCTTAACATGCATATTCAAAACAAACCCTAATGTCAAACGATCCAAACACGACTAATCAACCCGCACACAAAGCAATCGGAAACTGAATCATGAACATGCAACAAATGTCCAATAACATGAGCTACAAATAATAATAATATATATTGCCAAAACTGACACGCGTCTAACGGAACTAACCAAATCGAAACTCGCACACATCCTGGTGTTGGTTATGGCTAACACACTCACGCATATAACATAGATATAAATGGCTTAAAGTCTTAACTGTTTTTCCATTCCCCATCCGCAGGTCAGTTCACTGAGGACGGCTCCTTCATTGGGCAGTATGTGCCCGGCAAGCTGCAGCCGCCGGTCAGCCCACAGCCGCTGAACAACTCCGCCGCAGCGCATCAGCAGCCGCAGCCCGTTGGAGTCAATGCTGGAGGAGGAGCCAATGCAGCTGGCCCTGGCAGCAGCAGCGGTGGCGGCGGCGCTGCCACGACGAGCACAGCTGCCGTTGCCACCTACGTCTAAGAGGCGTGGCAGCCAGCATAAAGATTGCGTTCAGTTCGTGCATTCAAAAACTACGCCCAAGTTTATTAACTAATTCTGTGTGTGTGTGTATGTTAGTATGTGTGTGAGTGTGTGTGTGTGTGTGTGTGTGTGTGTGTGCGTGTGCGTGTGTGTAAACGAACAAAAATTAAACTGCTTTAATTGTCTGCAAAAAATAAAACGATTTACGAAATTTAAAATTAAAAAACAAAAAAAAATGCGCAGTAAAAAATGTATTTAAACTCGCATTTTATTTGCTTAAATATGTAAATTAGATCTTTTTCAATGTATAAAAAACAAATCTGGAAATTGGGCGCATTCAGCAAAAAATTCTGATAAAAATTATATTTTTCCACCTCAAACAAGAAGTAAATTTGTAAGATGCATTTTTGTTTATTGTTTTGCAAATTTGTGTGTTTTTGTATTGCAAGCAGCTAGAAATCGTGATCAATCATGATTGATCAGAATTGTCTCTGGAATGCGCCTATTTTACTTTTGTTACAATCAAATCAAAACAAATTCAACTGAGAAAAAAACGAAAATCCAACAAAAAAAAAAATGCGAAAATAATATGGAAATGATATCGTTGCAAGTTCAAATTTGTGTCTTTTTGTGTGTGAATGTTCTTTTTTTTGTGTATGCAATTTTTTTTAAGCATTTTAGTTGGTTTTGCACATTGAAAAACTAAAATGTAATAATGTATTAGTACAGCTTTTATAGTGTATTCGTAGTCGTATGCATAGCCCTTGAAAATGCCAGATTTTTTCGAAACAGTGGGCCCAGCATTGCATTTTGCAGCTAATTGAGTGTGGCCAGATATCTTCAATTTCGCTTTAAACCAAAATATATCTTATGAATTTTGAACAGTGCAAATATTTTGCAATATGAGCGCTTCACGGGAATCGTACACAAGCATACACCACGGGTCACTTGAATAGATACACAGTGTTGAAGTTGCAAGAATCAGTGAATAAATTGTCAAACACAGGCCCTGATAATATTAAGTTTCTTAAAACAGAACTGAAATTACGGACTTCAAAACGAGGCGACGACTTTAAAATAATATGTAGACCAATCGCAATTTCATATATATATTTACATGATCATCTACTTAGGCAATGAAATCGGCTCTAAATATGTAAAAACAATAAACCTAGACAGTTAGTAAAAGTTGATTATTATAATTAATTTTGTATTAAGACAATGTGAGGCTAAACTGTTGTAAACTCAAGTCATAATTCATGAATATGTAATCGAAATCTTGCTGCCACTTTAAAGATTAGGAGTTTGAAATCGTAATCTTTAGCTTACTCTGACTATAAATAGGTAATAAATATAATGTAAAACAACTCGATACTTGATCTATGGAAATTGTAATGTGTCTGAATATAACTTAGAATACAATTTTCATTTCATTTGGAAAACTGGCACACAGAAATTGCGATCTGGTCCTTAATGTTATAATATATATAATAGTTCATGAAACCAAATCTAAGAAATCAACTTAAAAGCTGCAATTTTGATATGTAAGTCTTAAAAGTGAGCAATATCAAGCTAGCTCCATATTGCTTGCTGCATTTAAATGATATATAGAAAAAGCAAAACTGAATGCAAATTGAGCACTGTGTAGTTATGCCAAGTGTTTTTGTGCAGTGTACGTATACTAATCTCTTGGTCAATCAATCAATCAACACTATTTATGCAATTTTTTGTACATTTACAACAATATATGTGTTCACAGTTGAGAGGGAGACATAGAGAGCGCGAAAGGAGAGAGGAAGAGAGAGAGAGAGAGAGAACGAAAGCAAATTGTCAAGAAATCGAAATTTCGAACACCGTTCATTTTGAGAATTGTAATCTCTAGATAAAATGCGCCTGTACAAAGCAAGAAATTGAGAATTAAAAAAGGAGGAAAAACCGAAAAAAAACATAAACTTTTAAGCTTAACATAAACTTTGTTCAACAGCAGCTTAAAACGAAAAACCAAAACTAAATACCACAAAAAAAAAAAAAAAAAAAATTATAAAAAATATGAATAATTGAATTGATGCTTTTTTGTATGTATGTATGTATGTACTAATTATTATACAATACCTAAGTTAATTCATTTTGTAAAACGTCCATAGCATAATTAAATTGTGTAATATTTGTACCGACAGATAACCCTATGTTTATACCTATATATATACATATATATATATATATGTGTGTATGTAACTAATTACAAGCCGACAATGATTTTGCGAATTTCATTAATTTGTCCACTAATTATAATTATTTAAGTAAAGCAATTAGTTAATTCAAATCTTGAAAGTCAACGCGCTGCGTTCTAAGTTCAAACTAATTCAGAATTAAAGCGCCAAAACTTACTGCCATTCATACAGTTTTTACAGTTTACTATATAGAGACTCGCTCCGATTAACAAGATATAAATAATTTTTTTTTTTTAAGAAACTATGCGAAAAGTTCTAACATATATGGATTTATCGTATGTAAGTTAGATGGAATTTCTCGATCTTGCATTCGTTAAATATATTTATTCTTGGAAAATAGTTAACAATTTTAATTTGTGTTTATTAACTAGAGTAAAAATGCGATTATATCTATGTACTTATTTCAATAAATAAAAATAAAACGAATAAAAAAACAATTTCTTAAACATTTATAAAACGACTTTTCAAACTGTCGCCTAGAACTTGTAAGAAAATATGATAAAACATATATATAAAAACATATATATAAAATATATAAAATATAATATAATATGAAACCCATATATATATAGATATATGCATATATTGATCACGATATATATTTTTTAAGTGTACAAATTAAAATGTGCATTATATACATACAAACTAGAAGCTATAACAAAACTATTAAAGTCCCTAACCTAAATTGAGTTGCTCTGCTTACCGAACTTGTTCTACGTATATGAAGTTCTTGATAGAGTTAGAGATAGTTACCCGTAAAAAGCGAAAAACCAAAAAGTGCATCTAAAGAACACGGCTTAATTTGCTATCAATGTATATGGTAACGTATATGTAAATTATGTGGCTAAAAGCTTCGGATTATTTCATTATAAACATACAGGGTTGCTTAGTCAAATTTTTGCATTAGATTATTGAAAATTAAGAAAGAAAAAAAAAAACGAAAAACACAAGAAAAGTGAAAGGAAAAAATATTATATGCATTTTATACTTATTAGGCACTGCACAGCATTTTGTTGTTGTTCTTTCAATTAGCTATTTAACCATATGAGTGTTATGTATTATATGAGATCAGCCTGAATAACCAGCCCAAAAACAAAGAACAGACCAAAAAACCCACAAAATTCAATTCATAACACCTGCAACACCACGCATATCCCAACGATTGAGATGAGGATGAAGAATGTGAACGAGTTTTAAGAAGGAACAAGAGTCGAAAAGCTGGAAAAACGAGAAAAAAAGAGAAAGAATCAATAAAGAAAAGTACATAATTAGAGAAAGTTAAGGATAGGCATAAGGATAAGGTCCTTACGTTGGCACATAACAAAAAACAAACTACATAATACTTACACATGCCACATATAAAGCATATTTATACATATACATATATCTATATCTATATACATATATATATATTCATATACATTTACATGTATTGCGGACAACGATCTAAAGTTCTTGAGAAAGCGTTATATATATATATATATATGTACATATGCTTATATATATATATATATATATATATATACATACATGCACCAAATATATATATACATATATAGGAAGATGTATAAGATTCTGCATAGATATTGTGATTTCAAAAACAAAAATAGTCAATATTAAATCGAAAACAGTTTAAAGTGCATAAGGCCCAAGAAAAGGGTCACGAAAATTCCAACTTTTTTAAAAGTGCTCATCAAATTGAGAGACTAAAAAATCATATATATATCGGTGCTACCGATTCTAGAACTTGCTTTTTCCAAAATTGAAAAAAAAAATAAAATAAGAACTAAAACTGCACTGCCTGTCGGACTCTATCTATATATGTATGCATTCGCTTGCTTGCAAAAAATGGTTAAATATGCCAATATCGATAATATTATGCAAAATCCAATGTACTAGGAATGAAGGCAAGGCATTTTACTGCAAATGGAATCTATTTTTTTTGTTTGCACAATACTGTGATTCCTAAACAGAAACCATTAATAATAATAATATAATACAATTACAAATTAATTGTGCATGCATGATATTGCCCGACAACTGATGTGTTTGTATATTCTTTCCATTACATATTGATAAATGTTTTACAATTTGTAATTATAAATATGTACTTACTTATGCAAAATATTTATGCCCAATATCCAAACAAATCTTTTTCAACATTAACTAACCAAATGGCCTAAACACTGAAAACCAAATAAAATATGCGAACCATACCAAGAATACTTCTTAAAACTGAGTTTTTAGCGAATCAATATAAACTTAAGTAACAAATACTTGTACAACACTTGCAGCGAAAACTTAAAATTGATTAAAATGAATTAAAAGAAAAGCAAAGTATGGTTGATGTTTTTGCATAAAAAAAAAAAACAAGACAAACCAATAACAACATAAAGCTGTATAACTATAAAGAAATGCAAATAAACTAAAGAAAAAATGTATGAGAAAAAGCAAAAACAAGTTGAATTTACATATATATTTTTATTTCAGCAAAACCAGCAACAAAATCTATGGCATCCGATAGAAAATTTTAATTATTTCAAAGCAACGTTAATACGGTTAAGCGTCCGTTACGGTTAAGAGCTGAAGTGAGCAATGTTAACGCCGCAAAGATTAACATAGCGCAGAATTGAGCTAACATAATGCTAAGGGCGTTACTATCAACTGAGGAGCGAATGAAATGCCAAGGCTATTAAACACGTATAACTGATTTAAATAAAGCATTTTCGTTTTGAAAAGCTAGCTGTTAAAGTTGAATGCTTTTCCAGATTTACAACAAACATCGATATGTAAGAAGTCAAGCATCGATGCAACGTAAAAAGATATCGACTTTGCTCTGATTATCGATAGTTTTGCCGTCCTTAATTTCACGCAATTGTGTTTAACTACATGATTTGGCTGGGGTAAAATCAAAGTACGCAACTATAAAACTATTAGTCACAGGCATTGGTGCAAAAATGGCTCTGGCCATTACAAAACCTCAGTCTTTCATTGAGACGATAGTTGGTGTGCCGCCTCTGAAAAAGCTCCGCTTGCAGGCATTGGCGGCGCCAACGAGCAAACCGAAAGCAAAACCCGAAAAGAAACTTCAAGTATTAGGACTTCTTGATCCTTATCTACCGCCCAGTACTGGCAGCAATAGCATCATTGTGCCGGGCATAGGCACTGTGCCAGCTGCGAGCACCGGCGCCAGCAACACCTGCCAGACGAAGGAGCTGCTAGAAGTGCTGGTTAAGATTACGGACGAAATTACCTACGAGAATGTGCAAATAGCTGAGTTAAAGGAGACTGCCACAAAGATCTTTCAACTGTACCAGCTGCAGGAACGCGACAGCGACACCTCGGTGCGTGTGAAATTGCTGGAGCTGCTATCGGGTCTGGGTTGTGAGTGCGGAACGGAGGAGGGCATCACCCTAATCATCGACTACTTTATCTACCTGCTGCGCAAGGAGACCTCACAGAAGGTGCTCGCCCAGGGCATGATGTGCCTTTTTCGCATTGGCCAGCAGCGCCGCCAGATGGTGCCGCTAGCATATAACACGCAAGTGGCGCACCTAGCCAAAGAGTTGCTTCGAAGCGGGTCCACGCACACACAGAAGAATGCAATGCTGGTGATAGGACGATTTGCCACCTGTCACGAGAGCGAGCGGCAGTATGTCTGGAAGCTGGCCTTCTACATTGATTCGCAGGACTCGGGCGTGCGTGCCCAGGCGCTGCATGCGCTGCTGACACTTGGCGAGCGGGGCTCCCACCTGCCGCCGGTGTTGTACAAGCGTGCCGTCGAAGCCATGAAGGACGACTACGAGTGTGTGCGCAAAGAGGCGCTGCGTCTGGTGCACATGCTCGGCAACCGGCATCCGGACTACATTATCAATGTGGAGCGTCACCACGAGGACATACGCATGATCGATGCAGCCTTTAGCAAGGTGTGCGAGGCGCTCTGCGATCTCTCGCTGCAGATACGTGTGTTGGCCGCCGAGCTGTTGGGCAGCATGACGCATGTCAGCAGCGAGTTCCTGCACCAGACGCTGGACAAGAAGCTGATGAGTAATCTGCGGCGCAAACGCAATGCCCACGAGCGGGGCGCCCATCTGGTCACCAGCGGAGAATGGTCGTCGGGCAAACGGTGGGCAGACGATGCGCCGCAAGAGCATCTGGATGCGCGCACCATTTCCCTTATAGCTAGCGGCGCCTGTGGAGCGCTTGTACACGGCCTAGAGGATGAGTTCTTGGAGGTGCGCACAGCTGCGGTTGGCTCAATGTGCAAGCTGGCCATGTCGCATCCGGAATTCGCGGTGACCAGCTTAGACTTTCTTGTGGACATGTTTAACGATGAGATCGAGGATGTGCGCTTGAAGGCCATCTATAGCCTGACGGCCATTGCCCGACATATAGTGCTGCGTGAGGATCAACTGGAGATCATGCTCGGTTCCCTAGAGGATTACTCAGTTGATGTGCGCGAGGGCCTGCATCTGATGCTCGGCGCCTGCCGCGTCTCCACGCAGACCTGCCTGTTGATGGTCGTGCAGAAGCTGCTCGATGTGTTGGCCAAATATCCACAGGATCGACACTCGACGTATGCCTGCATGCGCAAGATTGGCCAGAAGCATCCGCATTTGGTGATGGCCGTCACTGGGCATCTGCTCTATGTGCATCCGTTCTTCGAGACGCCCGAACGTGATGTCGAGGATCCCGCCTATCTGTGCGTTCTCATTCTGGTATTCAACGCCGCTGAGCACCTGGTT